CGCTGTACTTCAGAGCAATTACACAGCATACGCTTCTTTTTAGTATCAGTTTGCTGCTTATTTTTATTTTTCTGTTAACCTTTCTGCTGTGACTACAGCAGCCACTGTAGGTCAAACTGAGTGCTCATATGAAGCCTCTTCAATGCATACATTGCAATAATAAATTATTTTCTTACTGTTCTAGATCATTTAGGCTCCAAGCACCTAAATGAACTAGATGAAGATCCCATCCTTGTTGCCACAAGGATGAAGATCCCATCCTTGTTGCCACAGTGGTGGGGAGAATAGATTAGTGCAGAGAGCACCACATAATTTATATGTCTGGTAATTGTATTGTTTTGAACAGGAACCAAAATTGAAAGGAGGCACATGGCATAGCTACATTTAAAGACATTGTACCATATATTACAGGTGTGCAAAGCAGGCCTTATTCCATTCGGATTTGGACCGAATCAGGGACAGTGATTCAATTAGTTGATTAGGATCACTGTCCCTGATTTGATTCAGCTGAATCCAAATCTGAAGATTTGATGCTGATTCAGAGGAAGAGCTGTTTGGGCACAGACACAGCTTTAAAAGTTTTTTTCTACACACCTTGAGATAGCAGGCGTGGCTCGTGATCGTTGCAATGCTGGGGCGCATGGAGCATCCCATAGGAATGTGGGGAGGCCCTCCATGTGTTTGGCGGTGAACCCGGAAGTAGACCAGAGTACTTCCAGTTCACTTTCGGATCTGCAGGGTGTTTTTCAGAAATTACTCTGTCTTATGATAGCACTATTTACCCATCACAAATAAACAGTTTCAGCAGCATCACACAATACAACATCATAAAACAACATTTCAATCTAAGGCACAATACTAAACAATCTTAATAACATCTATTCCTTAATATAGTCCATGAACCATAGCAAGGGATAGTCCTCCTTCCAATGGGGTCCCTTGGGAGGGGGTGTCCAGGAAGCACCAGGGGCCCCTCCCGTTAGGGCCTTGACTGGGTGAGGGGCTGCTCACCCAGTGCCTTCTCTGGGCCTGTATATCCCAAATGTCTTTCCCCTGTGAGACCCAAGGGCCCAATGACTCATACTCCCTCAGGTTCATAGATTCATAGATGTTAGGGTCGGAAGGGACCTCAATAGATCATTGAGTCCGACCCCCAAGGTGGCAGTGCTCAAGGAGCAGCTCGCTGGGGTCTCCCCTGCACCACCTCTGAAGCGCTGCTCCAGGCCTTCCCCACACCTCTGGGCTCCTCCCCACCCTGAGCCCCACTCTGGGCACTGGGGGCTCAGCTCCTCTCAGCTGCTGCACTGTTGCTGCTGGCTCCTGGGTGCTAGGTCTCACACCGCAGCACTATTATTTCCCCATGACCTGGTTCTTAGCACTGAGGGCTCTTTTAGCAAAGGCCAGGCCCTTTAGGCTAACCCAAGCAGCTTCTGCTGCTCCCTGGCTTGCTATCTCATGTGCCACCCTGCACACCGTGGGACCCGGCCACTTGCTGGGAGATGGGGCTTGAGCCACCTCACTGCTGCTCCCAAGGCTCTGCCCCATGCTCTGCCCTGCACACCATGTGGCCCCTGGCCCTCCAAGGTTGCAGGCTTGAGCCACCGTTAGCGGCTTCCAGAGCCTGAGCTCTATTCACTGAAATATGCACCGTGTTGTCTGAGGGTCTCACACCCTCCCAGGGATCTTCAGGAACTCAGGGCTATTCCCCACTGGGACAGCTTGTCCCTAGCTTTTCTCACTCCAGTCTTCTGTCTTCAGTTCCCCTGTTGCATCTCCCCTCATGCTGGGCACACTGCTCTTTATATACTTTACAGGGCTCCACTCCTGAAGTCTTCTGGACCTGACAGGATTGCAGTCTACAGTTAGGTCCATGGAGCTCCTCTCCCCCTCCCTTCAGGAAAAGGGTGAGGCTTCACTGCTTTGGCTGCCTCCTGATTGGTGGATGGGCTTCACCAACCAAAACAGCAGAATCCCAAGCTTGGGACTCAACCTAAGCTCCGAAAGGTAAGCCTTCTACATTATAATTTTTAGTGAAAAAAAGTAGAGCTCCATGAGTTTGTTTGCCTAGTGCCCTATAAGGGTTAATCTGTCCCTGGTCTGGGTAGCTGAGGGTGATGCCTGGGCTGCTCCAGTGCATGGTGCAATGTTGGGGGTGGGGGATGCCCATACAGGTTTGCAGTGCAGTGGTAGGTTGCCCATAGAAGCTCAGTGCAGCAGTGCAGAGGGCGGTGCCTGCATAGTGCGGCAAGGGGACATCCACATGGCATGTGGCTAACGGGGGCCCAAGGCTCATTTTTTATATTCTAATCTAGATAATACAGATATTAAAGGCTGATATGCTCTTATTGCATTTCATTCAATAGCTAAAGCATTGTAGAGAGATTTTGTACAAAGTCTCAGTTAGTAGCACGGATTTCCTTTAATATCATTTAGCTTTCATTCCTGTTACAAAATGAAAAACCTAAGCTGCATGACTTGTGTTCGAAATGGGATTTGTGTTTTGAACTGAGCACTGAAGCCTTTGGCAAATGTGTGCATTCTTGGATATTTGCTTAAGAAGTTTAAACTGAAAGCCTTACTAGTGTCACACAGGATTGTATTACACCACTGGAAAAGTAAGACATCTCCAAAAGCTGAAACCTGGTTTAATGAAATGCCACAACTGGCACCCATGGAGAGAACCACATTTTGCAGGCACAACTGCTTTAAGAATTTTAATTGCAATTTAGAAATATTTTTTAGAATATTTTGGCAACTACATTCTAAAATGCTTTTGCTCGATTATGTGCACAGTTCTAGTCCACCCTCTACATTTTTTAGAAAACGACAGAACCAAAGATAAAATGTCACAAGTCAAGGATTTGGCTCCTTCTGTCTGCTGTTCTGCTAATCCCAAATCAGGCTTGCTGTAATGGAGCTGAAGCATACTTAATTTTTTTGCATGGGTAAATGATGATTTAATGGTGTTTAGAAATCTTATATCTGGGTCATAAATCATATGGCACTGGGTGAAAATTAGGGAGAAAAGATAGATTGTAACTATCTTAGAATAACTATTATTTTTAAGCCTTTAAAATATTACAGCTTAACATTTGCATTCATATTTTTGCTAAAAAAAAAATTTTTTTTAAAGACGATGAAAAGATGTTTTTGATTTCATAGATATGAGCAATTTTCAAATCTATCAATTATTTATAAAATTCGCCCCTAAAAATAGAGGACTTTATTTGCAGCTTCTACTTTCTACATGCCTAGTCCTGCCATTGCCATGACCATCCACATGTGCATCCTAGGCTGTGTTTTAGCTCATATGTCTTTAAACCGGCTATGGAACAAAGAGATGTGGCAGGTCAAATACAGTAGTTCTGGTTATTCCCCGCAACTGGCCCTGGAGAAATTTCACTGACTTATCTGATGTCCCATTCTCTGTATGATAAGGATTGTATATAATTTTTGTATGGCAGTCATTTAACTTAGTGCCTTTCCTTCCATTATCCCTTGTCAGTTGTTCAATTAATGACTTGAGATTAACGTACTCCATACAAATAGAAATCTCATCCTTTGGAAATAAATGTGTAATAACTTTGCATTCAGCAAAGAAGCAGAAGGATCAAGGCAACACCCAGACACATGCAGAAATTTCAAGAAAGCATCCAGAAACTGTGATATCCAGTAATGAAAAAATCACAGATATTTTTGAAAGGTTCAGATAGTAGCCTTTAGAGCCCTTTTCTATTTCTCTAGAGGATTTTTTGTTTCCTTTTCATAAATAAATTCAGACTTTCAAAGAGACTTCTGCCTATGTTTTTGCATCCATATATTGATTGTCACAAATAATTATGAGCTCATATAATGTCAGTGCACCTATGCCTATTTTCAGGCCCAATCAGTCAGACATCTTTATGCCATATAATGCAATGACAAATAGTTTGCGAGCATGAGCAGGCCTTTCAGTGCTTATGCCCCATTAAAAGTCAATGAGTCTTAATTTTTTTATGGAAATCTTAAATATAATTAAGGAAAAGATGCTTGTTTTTGTTTAGATTATATGTTTTTAAAGGTGCTTGCAGTAGTGAAAAGGGGAATCCATGATATTCTCTTGCAAGAATAGTTGATGATAATGTTAAGGATGTGCCCATTTCCTGATGCTGGATCACACTGTGAGTACCAAGGGAGTGCCTACGACATTCATAGGACTGGCAGGGCATTGTGGAAGAGCTATTATTACTAATATAACGTCAGTCCACCATGGCTGTGCATTTGAAATGGTATCATATATTTCTTTAGTTTTACTCCTTTACTTTTGCTACTTTCTTCCTCAAATCTCTCCCTTTGCTTCATATACTTGGCAATATTATTTTAGTGACAAGACAAATATCAAATATAATGAACACACTCTGATTTGCATGTGTACTGACAAGCAGATGGATGTTAATAGTTATGAATGGTCCTGAAGAGCTTAGAGATTTATCAGAACATACCCAAACTACCAGGTTCCTCCCACTAATCCCATTTAGGTATCGTTCATGCTCCCCTCTCTTTGACCCTACTGTCCACAGAGACTCCATCACAGTTCCATTACTTAATCCCATCTCCAGAGCTTTGTAAACTACTGAATAAATGATTGATTGCACATTCATAGCAGAATATTTAGAAACTGGACTATGACCAACAATTACTTCCATGCAGGCCATTGAACAGTCATCAGATAGTAAGAATGTCTGATTATGAATGTGGCATGTCAGGGCTGAAAATAAACCAGAGAGTCAAACTGAAAGGCTCTATATCCATTCCAGATCCCTTAGATACCAAGAGCCAACTTATAACAGGCTCTTTATGAGAATACAGTGAGACAGAGCCTCCTCCTGTATCTAGGAACCTACCAAAATTGGAAAATGTGAAATCTGGCATTGCCCACTTTTGCAGGTAATGTCTGAAACATCTAAGAAAAAAAGAAAGAAAGAAAGAAAGAAAGAAAGAAAGAAAGAAAGAAAACTTACTGAAAATAAAATGTTGGTTCCCCGGGGGGAGCCAGTAATCTTCATGGCACTGTGGCCCAGCTACACAGCCTGCTGGGGGAAAAGGGGAGAGAGGAGCTGCTGGCACACAAGGGAGTCCAAGATGGCTGCTAACCCTGCCCCTCTGCTGATTGGCTGAGAGGGCTGCCTGTTGTGCAGCTCTGCTGTTCTCCACAAATCAACAGTGAGGGGCAGGGCTGCATGATAGACAGTCCTTGCAATGAATAAGCAGTGAGGGGTCAGGCCATCAGGACCCCTTGGCCAATCACAGGTCTGGGGGCCCCCAGCCATGATAAGCCCCAGCCAGCTCTGTGATCTGTCCACAAAATCAGCTGGCTGCCTCCTTGAGTTGGGTAGACCTCTACCCACATCCTATATGAAAAGACTTCTTATATAAGCAGCATTCTGAATCCATAGGAGAGTCTTGGAGAAGATCGGCATTCTTGGGGCCTGAAAGCACCCAGACTGCAGGGTTCCAAGTTTCCTACTGGTACCCCAGTGAAAAGGGTTATGAGGCAAAGGGCTTTGTTACATGGTAATTTTCAGCAGTTTCTGAACCACTTAAACCCTGGACTGGCTGCATGTTAACACCCTTTAAGTGGCTTAGAGTACTCATCATTTGGCTTATAGTTAAGCCATTCCAAAGCAGGATTATTTCTAATCTGCCTAATTTTGTTCCTGTTCCATTAAGGTGTGTCTACTCCAGACAGCTATTTGGCCCAAGTTGAGGTCCCTCAAAATCCCAGAAGGCAGTGGTCTCTCCTGAGTCAGGCTGAGCAGAGATGCTTGGGAGGCTGGGTGCCTCATCCCCTGGGGACATCGGGCACAGTGAGTGGCTGTAGTGGTCATGGTGCCTCAAGGTGCCACCCAAATCATCTTGCTGCCCCCCCCCGCGAGGGGGGGGGGGGGGGGGGCAAGCTACAGAGAAAAAAAGGACCAGGCTCTTTGGAGCTTAGGCAGTGAACTAGTCCAGGGAGCAGTGGGAGGAATCATGGCCACTGGAGATAGCGACAAGCTTTCTCAAGAGCTCTGCTGGGCAGAATGAGTGAGCTCCAGGGCTATGGCTTCCCTGGGACTCTCTGGTTTCTCTGCAGCTGTCATGGTGGTAGGCCTGGCCAGCGGAAGCATCAGCAGTGGACTGATGGGGGGAGGGCGCCAGCCAGACCCTTCAGAGTTCTTATTGCGCAAGGTGACTTTAAGTATTGCTACAAGAAGGACGGTGGGGCAGGGGGTGCAAATACAAGTACTGGCACCTGGGCACTAGAGACCCATGGTACATCACTGGGGAGCAGCCACCTGGCCCTGTCCCTAGCTCCTAGTTCTGCCCCTGGTCACTGAGCCTCCAGTGGCATATCACAGCTGTGCAGGTGAAAGACAGTCGGAGAAGGATTTGCACCTTAAGGTGTGGCAGCTCCACTAAACCAAACAATATTAAGCTGATTAACATTTGTGCATCTTTCAGAGTAAGGTGTAACAAGGCCCAAAGGGTATATTCAAGGTGTGATCCTAGAAGAAATTGAAAAAGCTAGTGATTGAAGGCTGCTCAGACTCAGAGCATCTGAGAAACATAAAGGATAAGAAGATCGGTCAAAACAAAGCAGCCAATGAGTCTCCATAAAGGGAACGTGACTAGGGCTGTCACAGTCCATTTTTTTTTTTTGTTCCTCAAACCAGAAAAGGGGTAGGAATGTTTAGAAAAATCTCACTGGAATTTTTTTTCAATGAGAGTATAGAGAAATATCAGCATTTATCTGCATGTATTAGAAGAGAACACTTAGTGCTGGAAACTAAATCACACAGTAGTCAGTTTGGGGAAAAAATTATGTTCTTTTCTAAAGTTTTGCCATGGCAGGAAAGAGGGCTGGGGTCAAACGACCCTGGCAAGGTGCCTATCTAGACTCCTTTTAAAGACCCCCAGAGTAGGAGCAAGCACCACTTCCCTTGGAAGCTGGTTCCAGATCCTAGCCGCCCTGACTGTGAAGTAGTGCCTCCTGGTGTCTAGCCTAAACCTACTCTCCGTCAACTTATGGCCGTTATTCCTTTTTACTTCCAGTAGTGCTCAGGGGAACAGGGACTCTCCCATTGCCTGCTGGTCTCCCTTGTCCAGTTTATAGATGGCCACCAGATCCCCTCTCAGCCTTTTCTTGTGGAGGCTGAACAGGTTCAGGTCTCATAGCCTCTCCTCGTAGGGCCTGCTTTGCTGCCCCCTGATCATGCGAGTGGCCCTCCTCTGGACCCTCTCCATGTTGTCCAAAGCTCTCCTGAAGTGTGGTGTCCAGAACTGGATGCAGTACTCCAACTGCAGCCTGACCAGTGTCACAAAGAGAGGGAGGATCACCTCCTTGGACCTGCTTGAGATACATCTGTGGATGCATGACAAGGTGCAGTTGGCCTTCCTGACTGTGTCCCCACATTGGTGGTCCATGTTCATCTTGGAGTTTATAATGACTCCAAGATCCTTTTCTGCCTCTGTGCTGATGAGAAGGGAGTTCCCCAGCCTGTAGCTATGCTGCTGGTTCTTTCTCCCTAGGTGCAGTACCCTGCAATTGTCAGTGTTGAATCCCATCTTATTCTCATCCACCCACCCCTGTAACCTGTCCAGGTCCAATTGCAGCCTGTCCCTCCCTTCTAGCATGCCCACTTCTCCTCACATCTTAGTGTCATCTGCGAATTTGAACAAGGTGCTTTTCACTCCCTTGTCCAAGTCGCTGGTGAAGATGTTGAACAGTGCGGGCCCAAGGATCGAGCCCTGGGGAGCCCCACTGCCCACATCCCTCCAGGTCAAAAATGGTCCATCCACCACCACTCTCTGGGTGTGGCCCTCCAGCCAACTGGCAACCATCTGACTGTGTAGGCATCGACACCACAATCTCCTTTTTTTTAAATGAGAATGGGTGAGAGACAGTGTCGAAGGCCTTCCTAAAGTCCAGAAAGACTACGTCTACCGTGACACCTGTATCCAAGGATTTTGTGACCTGGTCATAGAAGGCCACCAGGTTGGTCTGACAGTACCTGCCTCTAATGAACCCAAGTTGGTTGCCCCTAAGCATATACTCCCCTGCTTGCCCCTCGCAGATGTGCACCTGAATAATTTTCTCAAAGAGAAAATCATACCAATCTTATTCAGTAAATGCTTAATCAGTGTCATTGAAGGCATTCTAGAAAGCATTTAGCACCATATGACATATGCTATATGACAAATCCAGTGGTAGTTGTCCAAAAAATAAGTATTGGCTCAGTATAGTAAAATGAATGGGACAAAGCCCGTGTATAGCCCCAATATGACAACAAAACCCTTTAATGATATTTCTTGTTCAGAAATATGCTGTATTCCTCATTCTATAATTAGCAAATAATGAAATTTGTGAGTTAGATCATGACTCAGTGGCATATCCCCCTTGGTGATATTGGTTTTAACCTACAATCTGCACACCCAGTTTCAACTTTCTACACTAACATGAAGCTTTGGCCTGGCCAGGCACATGTTCTCTAGGTGGATGATTTATACAGTACTCCAAAAGGGGTGTCACTGAGGTTTTGAAGCTAGGATTTAGTTTTAAGTAATATAGTAGGAAGTATAGTTCACTGAAAAATTATTATTTCAAGACTGGCTTTCATTCCTAGTCAGAGTAAAATATCTAAATATTCATGTTTTTTCACAGAAAAAAATGTTCCAAAGAATTTCTATTTGGAAGTGTTCAAATATTTAATCTTGATGTGTTTGAGCTAATCCAAAATTAAATTGTATCTATTAAGTTGCTATGGTGCCTTACGGGAGCTGTATCTAATGTGCTTCATGTCCTCATTCCTTACTATATTCCTTCCATAGTAGATGAAATCCTCTCTTGTGGTGCACCACAACCGCATGATTCCTGTAATGCACCTTCTGGTTTGATCAAGAGAGAAGGGAAATTGTAATGCATCATGAGACATGCTACTCATGTGGAGAGAATGGAGCTATGAAGCACTCACACTGCAATTCCCATGACAAACAGACACTAATCTAATGCTGTATGATTCAAAACATTTTCTTTTTAATTTACTAAATAAGAAGATATCAAGTTGGGTCAACCTAATTTGAAATGAAATACTTAAGGTTCACAGACACACACACACACACACACACACACAAACTAAATTGTCTATCAGACACACTTTAAAAGGAAATTCTTCACTTCCTGAAAATAGGAAGTAATGAGCACTTTATCTTTCTGCTGACTTAGCTGAGATGAAACTTGGAGCCTACCTTTTTTAGCAGAGTGCTGTAACCACCAGGCTACAGGGGAAGACAACAGCAGGCTTCCTTTATTTTTGACCTCATGATTTGCATTCTTGGCTGCCCCAATGACACATGGGAAAGGTGATGAATACTGTCATATAGCCTGCTTCATAGGCTGTGGAATGGGGTGGGCCACCTGGGTCATGGCCCAACCAACTTTTAGCATGTTAATTTAGCTACTACCCAGTTTAAAAAAAAATGCTATACAGCTTTAACTGGAATAACAATTGTGCATTTGTGGGTTATATAAATGAATGCGCTAAAATTTAGTTGGGCCATGGCCTGGGTGGCCTACTCTGTTCTCCAGCCTATGGCCTGCTTTATAGCCTGACGCTTTAGTTTCCTTCTAAAATGAAAGATGTGGGTTCACATCTCTTCAGGGTGAGATAGGTTTAAAATGAGACTTCCCACTTCCTGAATGAATGTTCTAGCCACTAGGTTATTAAACAACAGGTCCATCGTCATAGCTGAGCTGCATTCAGGGCTGTTGATATGAGTGTCTTTTTTATTCCTATTGGCAGCAATGTTATCAAAGATCTTAGGCAAATGTAGGTGCCTTTCAACAAACATTTAAATCACAAAGGAGGTTAGGCCAGATTTAGGTACCTACATGCTCTATCTGAATAATTTTTGATGATGTACAGAAGCTCAAATGTGGACACATAGGTACCTAATAAATGCATGTTCACAATAAGTGTTGTGTTATTTTGGCAGAGGGGCAATTTATATTACTCTTTGGAAATTAGTGTTTCCTAAGTCTTGTTTAGGTATCTAAGGAACAATTTTGATTTTTGGCCTTTGTCTCATAACAATTTTTTCTTTAA